TCTTTCACAACAACTACCATAATGACCCCTATCATCAGACCCTTGACATACCTACATCCAATACAATTTGCTGTACCTATAATGATTGACATGTCTGGTAGATGACCGACCACTGCCCACAATAGTATTTACATACCCTAGATGATCAAATGCCTAAGTTAAGGGTTTCTGTATGTATAAGTGATCAGACAGGTAGATGGCCATGGTCCTAAGGCACTGGTGTACCTATGGGTGACCAAACAGATAGATGGCCATGGTCCTAAGGCACGGGTGTACCTATGGGTGACCAAACGGATAGATGACCATGGTCCTAAGGCACTAGTGTAACTATGGGTGACCAAACAGATAGCTGACAATGGTCCTAAGGCACTGGTGTACCTATGGGTGAGCAAACAGATAGATGACCATGGTCCTAAGGCATTGGTGTAACTATGGGTGACAAAACAGATAGATGACCATGGTCCTATGGCACTGGTGTAACTATGGGTGACCAAACAGATAGATGACCATGGTACTAAGGCACTGGTGTACCTATGGGTGACCAGACAGGTCAAGGACAATCCATAACACTATTAGTGTTAGCCATCCTAATGATGGACAATTTGTACCAGTATGTTAGCTTTCTCTGATACATAAGTATATCAGGTAACGGAGTCTATGATGAACCTATCTGCTATTGTAAATCACTAACACTTTATGAGACAGATATTCTTTTCATTAATTTGCCAGGGAAGCTGATCCTGTATCCAAATATATCCTGAATATTTATTTATTCAGCCATGATTAAACATGATCTTAGCTGAAGCGAGGATTTTAAAATCTCAAACAAATGATTAAACAATGGATATGTAGCCGTTGTGTTCTATTCGCCTGTTGAAATCCTCATGAACAAGCTGTTTCAAGAAGCAATAAACAGTACAGCTCTCCATGGCATCAGCACACCCAGACAAACCACATAATTCTAATGCACCTGCAATCAGCACTCGGTGTAATACAGAGATTGCCGCACGCATGCTATGTCACAAAGAAAACGTAATAAAAGCAAACCAGATTATATTTAATTGTGTTCATGATCGTGGAACTAGCGAGTTGTGTTTTGGAATGACTTTGACTTTCATAGCGACCTAAGCATGTCACAGTAGAAACCATGCATGTTGGGCTCCAACATATAGCTAATTAGTAGGTAAGGTTATATAGATTGATCATGAGGGTAAGGGAGACAACCCGTCTCTTTTGTTCCCTGTGTGTGACATAATCTAGCGTGCTCAAACCTTGATAATGCACTTCAGCGTACTCTATAAAAAAATTTTCATTTTTCAAAATTTTCAAATAAATGTTCTTTATAAGAACAAGCCCCAAGTGTGGTTATCTTAAGAGGTAAGAATGATTTTTCGAGTGTTTCATTCTCTATGGACTTCACAGCCTATTTCCAGATGTTTGGTGTCAGAAACAACTAAAAGCATGTCAATAATTTACAGAATATATGTCAGATATATAGACTCCTCACCCCTTAAATCTACCAAGATGCTGGACTCATCAGCGACCCCTGTGGGACACCAGGTACATCGTATCTAACTCCTTCAACTGGTAATGGGGCGAAAGCTTGTATCTAAGAGCTGGTGGCCATCTGTCTTGAACCTCTGAGCTCCTGGCCACAGACAATTTAGAGTGCAACTTATGCGTAATTACACAGACCGTCTACATGGATGCACAGATAGATAAACTCTACACACATATTTCTATAAAAACTCACGAGGTGTCAATTGTGCTTGGTCTGCACTTGGACAGAACTCTTAGACAAGGATGGAGTAGACTGGGGTCCCTATACAACTAGTTACCAGTACCTTTTATAATCCTTACAGACAGCAAGGATTCAGTACTTAGTAACGAATTGTACAATAGAAGTACATCTTACTCTGTGTACACCTCATAGGAAGTCAATATCTAGCTATTTGTAGTTCCAATAAATCTGGCTTTATAAATATCATAATCATCATATACCTGTACCAAATAATCTTTAAGTAAGCGCCATCCATTTGCACAGACAGATTGAATTTATTTAATTCATCATATATATTTGATTGATTAATAGCAATCAAAAGGATTGGACAAAAGTGAGTTGACTCTCTTGGATGTAAAAAAGCGAATCCAAGGTGTAAGAGCTGGTTTGGTGCCTCCCTAACATGTTTTCACAAATATGGGACCAGGTGGGGTGCCATGCTAACCTCCAGGTTCCAATGTTTCAGGAAGATAGCACTTTGAAAGTAGCCCTTTATCATAAATGACCCCATCTTCAGTGTACACTGATTGGAGTATGATCTTGTATTGTGTAAAGATGTAAAACCTTAACTGTACCAAACCTCTCTAAAACAATGTTTCAATTTTATGGTTAAAAACAGATCCAATAAATATATGCTACACTTGAACATCAAAGTGGTCCATTACACTGTGATCGAGGCTGAATTCGGTCAGAGAGTGTCACGTGAGTAGTCTCCCTTAGTGTTTGGTGTAGGCAGAATGTCTTTGATGAATAATTCAGACAAGAAAGAGAAAATCTCATTAGACTATTGGGACCTCTCCTCTGTGTCAGAACCCTGTGTCCCCCATCTTAGCAACCTTGACGTTGTCAGAATAAATCAGAGCTCATGAATGACAACTTGTTTCAAGTATCGTCGGCAGTTCTGATCAAATTTGTCCTCACAATATGTCCGCCTTTGCAGTAGATTTCCTATTCACGTAATCCTGATGTTCTATCAGTGTTAAACCTTGGAGAGTCCTTAGGCTGGTAATTGTACTAGCTCTGTTGAAGCTTCAGTAACAACACCACTCAGACAGTATTCTCAATCAATTTTGATAGATTTTTTTTATAGAATTTTCTTTTTCTTTTTATTCATTTTTACTGATAGTTATATTGGATATTTCTTGTGTTAGAATCTGCTGTTGTAGGCCAGACCAGGTCCACAATGGGTTCTATGATCCACGTAGCCAGAGTGTTGACACTTGTCACAGCTAAATACACTTGATTGATTTTACCAGTAACTTTTTATCACACAAATTGTATTCTATACTGGATATTGAAAGGGTAAACATACAACACAGTACGCAGGGTCTGACCCTATGCTGTCGACCCAGAGCTGCTTTCTGTCACAGCCCAAATGCCGCGTGGCAGAGTGCTGGTTCAACAGAATGCTGTATCGAACTTCCTGATAAATACAGATATAACAGAACATGTAATATCCTTGGAAAAACCCCTTGAACTACAACAACCATACCAAAATCAGACCTGATAACCCCAAAAAACATTGTATTTACATTACAATAATCAGATGATATGTTGGTTGCAAAAGTAATGTTACTGAATAGTTGTCATTGAAGTATGCTTTTAAGCGAACTCAACTTTCAACAGAACAAATCCAAAGTACGTTGTGCAGACATTATAGACAGCAACCTTGTGCTGCCTATCTCCATCTCCACTAATGGAATTGTAATTATTGGTGTTAAAATCAAACTTTGATCTTCATAGCAATTTAATAACAGTAAAAATGATGCACTCAAAATGTTTATACATACAACAGTACCTTACAACTCTGGATGCGTACCTGTTTACAGCCAGTGTACTATAGCTACCTAACCTTACAACTCTGGATGTGTACCTGTTTACAGCCAGTGTACTACCTTACCTTACAACTCTGGATGTGTTCCTGTTTACAGCCAGTGTATTACAATAAGTGACAACTGAATCTTTGTTTCGTTAGTTATGTTTACAGTCAATATACTTCTATCGTAACTGACAACTCGGGATGTGTACCTATTTACAGCCAGTTTAATACAGTAACTGACAACTCGGGATGTGGACTTGTTTACAGCCCCTCACTTAACCTGGATGAAATCTGTGTGAAGAAAGAAAATGGTGTAGTATTCCTATTAAGATGCTCTATTTTATGACTCTGTACAACTCATTGATCTGGATGGAGTTGGTGAGAAAGTCTTAAACAAAAGGCCTGCACTAGATTGTGGAGTTGTCACTCCTGACAGCAGTTCCAGAAACAAGCTATAAACAAAAAACAGTAGTCACTTCTGTTTTGCCGTGTTCTGCCCAGAGATATAATTGATGTTTCCGATGTGGTATTCACACCCTTACCAGTGTGTGTGGCTCACATTCCTGTCTTAATATTGGGTACATGCTACTTTTCTACAGTTGTCTTCTCCTGTGAGTTTTTAATGTTGATATTGCTTCATAGGAATAAAATTATTCATTTGAAATTGAAATAATCAATTATATAGTGTCGTAGACTTGTCTGTCCCAAATGTCAGGCAAGTCTTGATAGAATTCATATAACATCAATGACTTTGTTTGAAATATGAAAAACACTGAAACAAACAGAAAAGCATGCTCAAACAACAGAGTGGAAATACACTGGAAATAAGATGTTTTCCTGCAATAGAACTTTGCTACAATGAAAATTTATTACAAACTGATTTTTCAACAGTATATGAAAAGGTTAAATAAAAATCTGAATGTTTTCTTCTATTCCCAATTATGCCAAGTTTTTCTTCTTCAATTTTTGTCCTTTGAGACCTGAAACCTGCTGGCCAAATATGACTCTTGTTCTCATTATTTCATGGAATATCACAATATGTATTGTAATGAAGACTAAAAATTTACACAATACCTTATAGTTAGAAATCATTTTAGTAATGCTTCTCTCTTTAAGTGAAATGCACAAAATAAAATGGAGGCGAACATTTAACATTTTACAGCGATTCGAAGCAAAACACAGCGTGGGTCTGGTGTATGGTACACAGTGCAAGCATTCCTGATCATGGAAGGCAGGACCTAAGATTGTATTCATGACTTTGCCTTTGTCTTTATACCACAATCAATTGTTGGGTTACTAGTTTTTTTTAAGCTTGATTTTCCGCAAAACAATTAGTGTGATATAAAGAAAAGTAAATTAATGGAACCCAGCGAACTACGAGGTGAAATAAATACTACTCACCTTTGGTACAAAAACAAGGAACCTTCAATGGAAGTCTTCTCCTGAAAATAAAAAGTTAAATGATTTAGGAACATAAAATACCTGTCTTACATCATGGGCATGTATTATTCACTGGCCTATTGAGCTAGACTGTAGGGATCCAAGTGTATTCCCTCTATCCCACACAGCCAGAAAGGTAGGGTTGTGTCATACCTGACAACCTGCAAAGCTTCACAAACTCTAAAACAATGCACCTGGCATTGATGACTTGCAGGATGGGCTATCTACACTACAGGTCTTTGTACTATATTCTGAAAATTGTCTCGAAGGTAATATATATTCTTAAAGTGTATGTAAGGATGTTTTGTCTAAAGAACAAAACATGACTTTTCTGTACCATATATTAGAAAAGAAAAAAACCCTCACAAAATCAATCTAATTCATGACACAGCATGTTTGACCCAACAAAACAAACTTAGTTTACAATCCACGTACCACTGCCAAAAACTGTAGCTATGCATTGGAAAGGTTTTTTTCCAGTATACTATAGCTTCGATAAATCATTCCTGAAAAATAACTATGGTATACCTTACAGAACTATGGCAAAGCATCTATTTATGATAAACTGTTATGTGTGAGTTGGTCCAAAAGAGAAAAGTTTTTCACTGGAACCATTGCAGTGAAATTGAATTGACCTTTGACACCTGTGACCTTCAACTTGAGGGCACACAACTGTATGTTTTCATATCAATCTTTCCATCTGGACAAAATGCAAACAGACAGCCAGCAAAAGTGACTGATTTACAACCCCATAATTAGTGTATGCTAATATTGTATTATTTCCTGAATGCGTAAAACATGGGAGCCCCTGATAAAAGCTTGTTCAGTATTAGGGCAGCTAAGGTTAAATAGCTTATATTGATATACTGCGAAACACTAGCAAATGCAAACTCAGTGCTCTGAGGTTAAATACTTAAACATATGTACTTGTCTACATACAATCTAAACATAGAGCTGCATATTACACCTAAGAGCATCTTTTTACACTTAAAAGTATCATTATCCACTGTAAGTATATTTTTATCCTATGAATGTTTTTGCCTCCACCAACACTGTATTTGTTCTGGTAGCAAGGAATATTCTTGACATCAAAGAGAGACTTTTCGTTCCCATGTGAGTTTCCATATCTCTTGAGAATAACTTTGACCCTTGAAAGTATTCTTGTCACTTGTGAGTGTCCTTGACCTCTAAAAAATGTTTGTCCCCTGATCATAAAGGTATTTCCACCCCTAGAAAATATCTTTGACCCTTTAGAACATCCTTGGTCCTGAAGTCAGTATCCCAACTCAACATTCCTTGTCTAATGAAGCATTGTTACACAGAAATACTTGTTTCCTAGGGAATATAAGAATATATATATATTTATATACAACAATCACCTGTATGACAATAATATACATAGCTCTTTAAGTTCCGGGCCCAATAATTAAGATTTAAGCCTTTAATTGATCCTGTCTTAGTACATACACACCGAGACAGATTTTACATATTCATGGCCGCTCTGGTACGGGACGTCTGTGTGGTTTGCATGTTTGTTGCGTTAATGTAAGACAGGGGTATATGTGGCCCGTCTGTATGTATATATCTATTTTTTTACCGAGATGAAAGACACCCCACCCACATGATACCTCACTGATGTTATACAGCTAACCTGAGACACACTTTCTTTGACTTTGTGTTAGTTTGTTTGGAAACAGGAGAAAAACCTCAGTTAAAAAGCTCAACAGATGTTGGTTTAACAGCCACAGTTTGTTCCATTATCTTCAGCATAGCTAGAATTCGCTATCATAAGGTGATGCAGCCAGCGCCAAGGTAAACAGCGGTATGGAGACACAACATCCCACAGGAACATGGCCTAGGATGAACTCGCATCATCTTTATACTTGATAATGTATGCCCATCAAATATTCTATCTGATTGCCAAAACATAAACCTAGTACATGGAGATTATATTCACTAGAAAAAGTGCTGTTTTGGTTTCCCCTATTCCCTCTTCACAAACAAGAGCACCTTAGACAACCCACTTTTTACGGCTTATAGCTATACCTGGTGACCTTCACAACAACCTTGAAAATAATGCTCTTCTCTTTCTACTACAGAAGTTACAATGCCTATCCTGGGAACTTCAGTGTCTCAGGGTCTTAATATGCAGGCTTTCACATTAACTATTGTCATTTTACTTCTGTATGTCCAGTACTGCTGAATATATACATATACTATTTTTCCCTACGTAATGGCCCTGTGGCCTCTATTTAAACAAATTTTCCTAAAAAGCACTCTTGCTTATTTTTTTTCTACATTTGTCCAGGACAGACATGATAGTTCTATCTAACTTCAAAGCTGAATCCACATTTATTAATAAAGTCACACATCTTTCCTACATAACCCTGTATGACCAGTACTGTGACATTATAACACTCAATGGTGTGATGTCATACATTATAACACTCAATGGTGTGATGTCATACCTACATAACCCTGTATGACCAGTACTGTGACATTCTAACACTCAATGGTGTGATGTCATACCAACATAGCCCTGTATGACCAGTACTGTGACATTATAACACTAAATGGTGTGATGTCAAACCTACATAACCCTGTAGTACCAGTACTGTGACATTATAAAACTCAATGGTGTGATGTCATACCAACATATCCCTGTATGACCAGTACTGTGACATTATAACACTCAATGGTATGATGTCATACCAACATAACCCTGTATGACCAGTACTCTGACATTATAACACTCAATGGTGTGATGGCATACCAACATAACCCTGTATGACCAGTACTGTAACATTATAACACTCAATGGTGTGATGTCATTATAACACTCAATGGTGTGATGTCATTATAACACTCAATGGTGTGATGTCATACCTTACTGTGACATTATAACACTTAATGGTGTGATGTCATACCTACATAACCCTGTATGACCAGTACCGTGACGTTATAACACTCAATGGTGTGATGTCATACCGACATAACCCTGTAGTACCAGTACTGTGACATTATAGCACTCAATGGTGTGATGTCATACCAACATATCCCTGTATGACCAGTACTGTGACATTATAACACTAAATGGTGTGATGTCAAACCTACATAACCCTGTAGTACCAGTACTGTGACATTATAAAACTCAATGGTGTGATGTCATACCAACATATCCCTGTATGACCAGTACTGTGACATTATAACACTAAATGGTGTGATGTCAAACCTACATAACCCTGTAGTACCAGTACTGTGACATTATAGCACTCAATGGTGTGATGTCATACCAACATTACCCTGTATGACCAGTACTGTGACATTATAACCCTCAATGGTGTGATGTCATACCAACATAACCCCGAAGTACCAGAACTGTGACATTATTATAACACTCAATGGTGTGATGTCATACAAACATAACCCTGTATGACCAGTACTGTGACATTCTAACACTCAATGGTGTGATGTCATACCAACATAACCCTGAAGTACCAGAACTGTGACATTATTATAACACTCAATGGTGTGATGTCATACCTACATAACCCTGTATGACCAGTACTGTGACATTATAACACTCAATGGTGTGATGTCATACCAACATGACCCTGAAGTACCAGAACTGTGACATTATTATAACACTCAATGGGGTGATGTCATACCTACATAACCCTGTAGTACCAGAACTGTTACATTATTATAACACTCAATGGTGTGATGTCATACCAACATCACCCTGTAGTACCAGTACTGTGACATTATTATTATACTCAATGATGTGATGTCATACCTACATAACCCTGTAGTACCAGTACTGTGACATTATAACACTTAATGGTGTGATGTCATACCAACATAACCCTGTATGACCAGTACTGTGACATTATAACACTCAATGGGGGGATGTCATACCAACATAACCCTGTATGACCAGTACTGTGACATTATAACACTAAATGGTGTGATGTCAAACCTACATAACCCTGTAGTACCAGTACTGTGACATTATAACAGTCAATGGTGTGATGTCATACCAACATAACCCTGTATGGCCAGTACTGTGACATTATAACACTCAATGGTGAGATGTCATACCAACATAACAGTACTGTGACATTATAACACTCAATGGTGTGATGTCATACAAACATAACCCTGTATGACCAGTACTGTGACATTATAACACTCAATGGGGTGATGTCATACCAACATAACCCTGTATGACCAGTACTATGACATTATAACACTCAATGGTGTGATGTCATACTTACATAACCCTGTAGTACCAGTACTGTGACATTATAACAGTCAATGGTGTGATGTCATACCAACATAACCCTGAAGTACCAGTACTGTGACATTATAACACTTAATGGTGTGATGTCATACCTACATAACCCTGTATGACCAGTACTGTGACATTATAACACTCAATGGGGGGATGTCATACCAACATAACCCTGTATGACCAGTACTATGACATTATAACACTCAATGGTGTGATGTCATACCTACATAACCCTGTATGACCAGTACTGTGACATTATAACACTCAATGGTGAGATGTCATACCAACATAACCACGTACCAACATAACCCTGTAGTACCAGTACTGTGACATTATAACACTCAATGGTGTGATGTCAAAACAACATAACCCTGTAGTACCAGTACTGTGACATTATAACACTCAATGGTGTGATGTCATACCTACATAACCCTGTATGACCAGTACTGTGACATTATAACACTTAATGGTGTGATGTCATACCTACATAACCCTGTAGTACCAGTACTGTGGACTGAATAATCCTTAATGGTATATTTTGAGTCATTTGTCTACACAATAATCAGTAATAGCTTTGTGATCTATTTGTAAGATGGTGAATATTTGAGTACTGTCTTTACAATAGAACACCTACAGCTTTGTAATAGGATGGGAGCTGTCACCTACATTTGTGATAAGATAGCAGTTGTCAATCTGAGTATAATTATA